TTAAACCAATCAGGTTGTGGCCTAAAGTGGCTAGCAGCAGGACTAGTTTCCTGTCTCACCTGACTGGCCTAGAAGAGCCCTTTGTCGGGTTGCAGCTTGTGACTCATCACCGCGTGTACTGTTGTAGTGAGTCGTGCCTGGCCGACTAGCTCGCATCGAAGTGCACTTTCCCAAAGACTCACCGACGCGGTTTTCGACGTCTCGATCAGCCAATCACGGTTCCCGCATCTACGCTCAAAAGCCAAGTGACGAATAGCGAGCTTGCAAGCGTTTCCGACGCAAGCTGCCTCTTTGCCCAAAATCTCCAGGCCGATCTAGCCAATGAAAGCCCTCTCTCTGTCTGATGTCCTGACTGCTCTCAAAAGTCACTTGGGACCCGTTCAACCTACTGAGCGGACGTGTCTCTCCCAAGTCAATCTATTCTCATCTACTCTCCTTTCCTTTGTGTAAACAATAAATTCTTCCTACTACTCTGGCCTTTACGGACTTCTCCTCCACTAAGTAATCATGGTCTGAAGATCGCAGTTGCACGGTTTAACTCACTTAACCCCCTGCGATATTTGTGACCCCGACGTGTGGGCGGACCGATACTATAGCGTAGGAGCGACTCGCCAGGCCCGCAAGTGAGTCGGTTAGGCTGGCTCCTAACAGTGTAATCCTCAATAAATCAGTGATACTTATTGGTTGACTATATGAACACTCATATCTAATGCAGTGGAGCTGGCACGTCGACTTTTTGCGTGGCTAACCTTCATTTATAACGGGAGTCTTTTAAAGGCGTATGGTCAAATCTGCGTCTAGAGTATAAGCTTTACCTCTTTAACGGGTATTTCCCTAGACCACTCGCTGCCGGTAGTGCCCTCTGGCACTTACGTGCGCAACATACGCTTACACACAATTTAGGGGTACCGAAAAAGCAGCAAAAACGCAATGCATGTGTCTAGTTAGTGAAGTGGTTGCCAATATTCGAAAGTATTTCGATCAAACCAATTGGGGAAAAATTTGCGGCCTCGGTGGGATTCGAACCTATACGCACCACGGAATGCGTTTGCGCAGCCAATGCTCTACCAATGAGCTACGAGGCTCACCATACGCCGTGAATTTAATTACACTTGGATCGATTTTGTGGCCCAGCTTTACTGCACGTACGTAAGAAAGGCTGATGTAAGAAAGCTGACTGTCAGGCAGGTTTTCCTAGGCAATCATCTATGATCAAGCGGATGGACTACTAGGCTAACTTTGGTTATTAGGGGTTTGGCAGATTTCAATAATTCGTTTGATTTACCAACTTTGTATTTATTTTTATCGCAGCACTAAGTCTGTAATAAAGGCGATCGTTCTGCCTTAAGTATACAATCTATTCATGTGGTCCGCCTTAGATGATTAAACGAAGCAGTTTGTTAAATTATCCCCTTTAACAAAATACTTTTATGAAAGAACACCAGTGACAGGAATACATAGGGCGAGAAATAGCTCCAGGACATACCAATCGTCGAGCAGTTCATGCTTGCTTCCTCACATTGCTGCAGCGTCTCGAATGCGTTACGATTGCCGCCCTCCCCACCGTAAAGGAATTTCTTGCACATTCTTGCACCCTTATCGTATCCAAAAAGCTCAAAGTGAGACCCACCGTATCCCACATCCAGGAGCATCTTGCATATGTCTTCCTCCACTGTAGTAATAAAATGGGAGCTTAGGAAACACAACACCAACATGAAAGGTCATTTGCTCTTAAATATCACCCCATTGGCTGGGCTACAGATTAGTAATCAGACAAAACAAGTACCTGAAAGTAAGTGAGATCTAACTGTACCTGCAGTGCCCTAAAGTCTCAAATCTGTTGAGTAATATGAACATTATTGCTTGCTTCTTCGGCGCGTCGAAGACAGGGTATTCTTTAACAAATAGGGGTACGTTTAAGTTGACTTGCTAAACACTCATTATCCTGACTCTCTGAGCTATGATATGTGTATGTTTCACTTCTGCAACAGCCGCCATTTGTAGCAGCCCTGCTAAGCCACTTAAGTTTCAAAACAAAAGGCGATTCTTCTGAGTTAAGTATGAAGGACGAGTAAGTAAATCAAAATTACGCCTACTTTAATGCATTCAGTAGGCATTTAAGTGTTCTTAAAATATCAACCTCTTCTAGTACTACCTTCGCCTAATGTTTACCTAAATCACATGTTAATACTGGGATAGTGAGCTTCTGCCAAAGTACGCTGAATGTTACTACCTTAGCTTGGTGTGCTTATGCGGAACTCCGAGGCATTCAGCAAACAAAAATTCCATCTACTGAGTGGTGCTAACTAAAATCCGCAGATGTGCTTTCAGTTTGGAAACTGTGTCTGAACAGCGTTAAAATAGTATAATTGTATTGCCACGGAGAGGTGTCAGCTGTCAATTGCCTGCAAGGTTAGCGGGTAGTTAAGTAGTCGTATTGCTTCTTAAGTATGCTTGACGTTACTAAAGATTTAAAGATGCTGGCAAATCGAAGATGATGTTGTCGTACTCAAGTTCTAGTGGATCCCGCCTTTTTCGAACTGCAAGGTTTGAAAATAAAGTGTATCTTTCGGTTGGAATAAATTGTTGGCTTGGGAATCTGTAACCGAAAATTTTGGCTTTGGAGATTCTGCCTTTTCAAAAAGGACATGTAGGCCTCAAAGAAGTTTGTGATGTATTTCGAAAAAATCAATATTGTAAAAAATGTTGCAATGGACTCAATCTTAGATGGTAATATTATGCAGTTATCTCAGCTATAAATCGCGGAAAACACATTTAAGAAAACAGGAATGGGGACAGGAATACTTGTCACGAGATGGTTTTTTTCTCGATGACCTACCTTTCTGTGGACAATCCTTACTTGCTTCCTCACATGCTTT